TGTGACGTTGATGGAGTCATTAAAGGTATTGACAAATCTGAAACAGGAAACCATCTGTCTTGTAGCTCTGAGGTCCCCAAAACCTGGGCTGCGGACTGGTACCAGTCCACGGCCTATTAGGGACCAGGCACAGAGTTGGGCCCTCTTTTTGTACACCCCCCCCCCAATCCATGTAAAAATTGTCTTCCACGAAACTTAGGGAGGGGGGCACACAGCAGGAGGTGAGTGGCTGGAGATGGCTAAGCTTCATCTATATTTACAGCCTTACAGCTGCACCCCATCCATGGCATCACCTCCTGAGCTCTGCCTCCCCCTGCCCCAACACCCCATCACTTCCCCCCATACCCCCACCCCCCGTCCATGGAAAAATTGTCCTCCATGAAACCAGTCCCTGGTACCAAAAATTTTGGGGACTGCTTTGTAACTGAACTCTGGAATAATTTATTCTAAGTCACTACCTGCAACTGAAGTTGGGCAAGGCTCCCTTTTTATTAAAAAAAAGGAATTCAAGATGCTTACAGAAGACTTCTAGAGAATAAAGGCAGAAAGTCAGCAACCCTAGGTTTGCTCTTGCTCACTCATGAGAACACACGTAAAAGAACTTACTGATCGCAGTGTTCATACATGCCAGGTCCTGTCTAAGGACTTTGTAAATATCACCCGGTTCCATGATACTTTGGAGTATTAAGCAGGGACGGAGACAGGTACTGACCCTTCCCTTTGAGAAGGCGGCCATGCCTCGTGTTCTTTGCTTCAGAAGCTTTAGAGCTCAAGTAATGAGGGACCAAAACCAGACGTTGCCCAGTCCCTAAAAGACAGCCCCCAACTAGGGCTTCCTTTGGGGGGTAAAAGGGGAGCCCACCCATTTCCTACCCCTAGGAGCCTGAGGCAGGAAGGGTTCTCAGGGCTGGGGAGGAGAAGTGGCCAACCCAGTAATGAGAGAGTTTTAACAGGGATACATTTTCAAGGCTATAAAGTAACATTTCCTTCTTTTTCAGACTGATCACACCTTTTGTTTTATTTGTTTGTTTGTTTATTTGTTTTTGAGACAGAGTCTCCCTCTGTCACCCTGGCTAGAGTGCAGTGGTGTCATCATAGCTCACAGCAACCCCTAATTCCCAGGCTCAGGCAATCCTCCCGCCTCAGCCTCCTGAGTAGCTGGGACTAGAGGTGGCATGGCTAATTTTTTCTATTTTTAGTAGAGACGGAGTCTCACTCTAGCTCAGGCTGGTCCTGAACTCCTGACTGAAAATGATCCTCCTGCCTTGGCCTCCCAGAGAGCTAGGATTATAGGCATGAGCCACTGCACCCGGCCCTGATCACACTTTTATTACATTGTGAATAATATTTATATGGTCATAATGTAAATCCTGTTTATTGAT